CTACAGATGTTAACAGCGGGCCCCTGAAGAAGCAAAATTGTCCACTCTAGGGAACCCCTGTTTCACAAGGACAGCCAAAGATCTCTACTAAAAGTGGATTTCTCAAATTTCTCCTGTCCCTGTTCTATTTATTCCAAAATCCATTTGGGCCACTTCAATTAGAAACATGCAATGGTTATTTGGAAATTTCCCTTTGCCCTTGCTGAAAGTGGTCTGCCTTTTATACTCTTCCAATGGTTTATTTACTTCTAGATAAGTCACGCCTAGCATGGAGATGGCTCTGATTAATTCCACATCTCCATGTCTTCATTTCGCTTTGCCGACAATATTTCTTCTCAACATCCTTCGTGGTCTTTCTTCCTCTCCACTTGGCTTAAACATTGATACCCTTCAGTCCTATCTTCAGTCTTTAATTTTATTCAGAACACACCCTCCTGCCAGGCGTCTGCTCCTTTTGCTTCATTCAGTGTACCCGTGACCACCACCTCCCCTGCTCAAGTCTGTGTCCCCAGTCTGACCCCTCTTCTGAACCAGGAGCCAGTTCTTCCAACTAACAACAAAACCCTACAGAATAGCCCACAGACACATCAGTCAATAGACCTCCTTCTGTGACCAAACGTTTCCTTTCTATTATTTCCTTAATGAATCCCGTGATGGCACACTCAAATGTCCAGAAGAGGAATGGCACAATCTCTCTCATAGGTCGTACAGCTTGTTTGTGAATCTGTTTCCTCTTTTCTTTCCTCATTGCTCTATCCTTGACCCCAATGTAGCTGATTGCCTTGCCTCTAGTCTGTCTGTCCTTTGGTCCGTCCTCACCATTCTACCCATTTCGCCTCACCATTCTACTTAAAACATTACGCTGGCCATAAATCTTCTCACTGCCGATTATTTAAATTTCATAGTATATTATGCAGAATCTTCACAAGCTACTTGTCCCATCTACACTTTCTCTGTGCACATCCTACCCAGAAGCCACTCCAACCCATTCATTAGTCACTAATGTGTTCTGTGTGGCTCTCAGGTAAGGTCCAGACAGGAAATTGAAACCAGATAGGTATTTCAACAGAGAGAATTCAGTAAAGGAAGTAAACAGGTGTTTCAAAATTTTTAATGAAACACAAAACCCACTGCGATATAGTTCAATCTGGCACATAGTGGCCATATATAGGCCCTCCAAGACTAAATCTTTACAAGAAGCAGCTGGTGGGTTTGAACCACAGACTTGGGTTAGTCCTACATCTATCTCACAGCTCCCTCAGGGCACTTAACTCAGAAACGATAACTGCAAAAAGCCATCCACGTGGGGCTGAGGAATTTCAGAGAAGACAACATTATCAGAAACTAGAAGCTGATAGCCTGGGTGGCATAGTGGTTTGTGCTTTAGGTGTTCCACAGTCAGTCTGGAGAACCCACAGGGACAATCCTACCCTGCCCGATAGAAGCTTGGAGAAGAGACACCAGACACCAGACCCTGCACTTCTGGTGGCTGCTAACTCCAAGTAACAAAGCAATCCCTCCCTCCCCTCCCCCCACCTTCTAGTGTGTTCCACTCATACTTCCAATGTGCGAGCAGGAACCCATGGAGCTGAAGCCTCTAGGGCAGAGAGATGCTGCTGGGTTGGGGTGGGGGGGCTCAGTGAACTCGATGGTGAAAAAGGAGCTAGTTCTGAAGAGTGCGGAGCATGGTAACCAAATGCTGCTCTTGGGATGGAGGGCGATAGTGGGAAGAGCAGCCAGAAGAAAGGGGAATCTCTCATCTCCTCCTCTTGCCTTCCCTCTCCCTCGAGTGCCCCCAGTGTGGATCTAGGTGACTACTTGGTGGGTTCCTACCTCAACATCAGAAAGGGGAATTTAAGAGTCGATAGACAATTGCTTAACAATCATCAAAATGAACTTCTCCTTCCCTTGATTTTGCTCATATAATCCCCTCCATCCGTGATGCTGTTTCTATCAGCATCTGCCTGATGTCCAAGTATAACATCCTCCCCATCATCTTTCCTAATCTTCTCAAGCATAAGTATTTAAAAATCATCCGCATCCCCGCTGGCCGTTTACAATAGCTCCCTCATAGTCTTTTCATATTCGGTCCTAATTCTTACTGGAGACGTGTGCAGGCTTGTTTTCCACCAGGTGTGGAGTTCCTTTCATGCAGATAAGAGTTATACCATGAAGTCTTGCAGGGTGCATGGCACACAAGAGATGTTGGTTAAGATAGATAACATTCATACGGTCATTTTAACTTAATATTTGATCATTTCTAGTATATATATATAGTTTCATCTTCCCAACCGGATTTGAACTCCATCAAGCAGAAATCATGCTTTATGTTTCTTTTATTTTCCTCAGGGCAGATATGGTTCAGAATCCACGCAGCAGCCCAGGGTTTTTGTTATCATTGTTGTTTTATGGTTTAGTACTAGGTTTGAAATACTGAAGAAGGACTCAGTGATATCTGTTAACCACCTAGTTTATTCATTAACCACTACAATTTTGGGTCAAAATGGCACGAAGATGGAGCAGGTGGTTAATAATAGCAGGTGAGCTCTATAGTTAGATGTAGATGTACTTGTAGCACCTGAATCTCATGGTGAGTGCGGTGCAGATAACAAAGTACTCAATTTGTTAAAGGTATACGCAATCAAGAGATCAGATGTAATATGTTCTATAGTGAATTCTAAAGACATGAAATAAAGTCCAGGTTTCTTTTTTTCCTGTGAATCTTTTATATGAAATGTATTTCCCCGGCTCAGGAGAGTATTAATCCTAGACTACATCTGCTCTTTGTATATTTACTGACTTTCTCACAGCCAGCAAAATTCACTAGAAGATTATTTAAATTTAAGAAGAGTAACAAATGTTAACTTAATCACCAGCTTCTTAAAAAAAATAAAAAGACATATTCAATAACTGATTTACATTCAGGTCAAAGAAGAAGAAAAAAATCACTTTTTTTTCCAAGAGAGGAGATATTTAATTAACTATTGATTTCTTCTCAATTATTCAAGGCAAGCAATTATCGATATTGATGGGACAGATATTTCCGTACCTGTAGTGCACAAATGAAAGGAAATATCCCATTCAGCAATCCGCTGCCTGGAACAAGAAATGCTGAGAATCTTTAACTTTAAATGGGAGCAGTTATTTGGACCTGTTTATCCCATGTTGCCCCAATTAAGCAGATATTTCTGAAGTGTAAGCAAAACAAAATCCTCAAAACCTACATATGCTTCCCAAATTAACAACAATAAAAGGTAATGGGGGCAGGGGCACGCATCAGTTCTGACCATTGGACAAACCCTCTACGTTTGTCAATATCACTGGACAGTGAGAGACCCTGCTATGTTGAAGCCCATGGCACAGAAAGTACTCTAATTCAGGTCTAATAGTCAAGATTTCTAATCCGCCCAGTGGAAGGCGGTTTGTATAATCTTTAGAACTTCTTGTGCATCAATGTGTTAAGCTTGAAAGGTGGAATAGGCCTTAAAAGATTCACTTCTGACATTTGCAGATAGTAAGGATGGCTACACTTGAAACTTACACTACTCTGTTAACAAAACAGTGCTAGAGGTCGACCAGGACTTGTTGAGGAAGGAGGAAGAATGAGTCCTGTGTACAGCACCTGGGTGTTGGCATTGTCTCTACCACCGCCATCTCGTCTCTGTTCATTTGCACTCAGAACATTCACATGTGTGTGTAAGAAGCCTCTTTGGAAGGTGTTGGGACTTATGGAAATGAATGGAGTCCGCAAGATTCTCCATTCAGCTATTACTTGGAGGGTGGGAGTTATTTTTAAAACTACTTCCCACGAAATGAGAATGTATATGTGAGAGAGTGCGTGTTTGTATGTATTTGATTCGTGTGGGACTTTGACTCCTGGTGGAATTTGGCCATGACATTCGTTTTAATTGAAAAATGCTGTACTTTATACGCAAGCACCATTCCTGCTCTGCCCCAGTCCTCTTCTGGAGTGGTTCTATATGTTTAATGCTTAAGCAGCAGCTGGTGCTGAGAAGTGTTCTTGGCTCTTTGACTCTTTGCTGTTGTTTTAATTTCCCTGGGTTCTATTTAACATTCTGCTAAATCAGTGAAATCTTGATTATGAAAAGAATAGGAGACATGGAATTAATGAGGATAACCAGAATTTTGAAAAGATGAGGAATTATTAAATGGGGGAAAGTTACATGGTAAAGGCCATAAAAGAATTTTAGTCGGTGGAAATGCTTGTCTGGATTTAGTCTGTCTTTTTTTTTTAAGCTGATTGATGGGTAGGTACAATGACATTTTGGTAATCAGGGTTTCACCAGTTGTCTTTATGTCTAATTCCGGGAAGCCAAGTTAACCTTGGGCTCTATGTCCCATATTTATAAGATGAAAAGAATCCCGGTAGGCTGTCCTAATGTGCCTGCTGAACCCCACAGCCTCAGGTCCTGCTGCTGCCTGCCTGGAACATGCTGCTGTCCCATTATCCCCTATGTCCCGGAGTTTCCCTGCTGCCCCATGCTGCCCCCAGGCTTGCCATGGCTGGGACCCTGGCCTGGGAGAATGGCCCACCCTTCAGAGGGGCTGGTCATTGTAGCACTTCTGCTTTTCATTGTAATCACGTTCATTTGGCTTCAAAAGCCCACATTCCCGTATCAGGCACTTGCCCTTTGAAAAACCAGGAGGTCACCCCAGGTCCCACTTCCATGAGAAGAGAGTGCCAACCCAGCGGTATCAATCACATTAACTTGTGTTCCCTGTCCTGAAGCGGACAATGGTAACATCCAAGATTGTAAGCGAGGGGTGGGGCGGGGAGGGGGAATCTATACAAAAGGGACTCATATAAAATACAAAGGCAGCCAACGACATTTGTTTGGAAATGGGAGTCACGGGCTCACTTTGTTGGAGGGGAGGGAGAGCCCCAGATCGATAGCGATGTTTCTTTTTTTTTAAGCTGAAAACATGATGTCCATAAATTGATTCTGCCTTTCCTCCCTGCCCTCCCCCTCCTTCTACAGCGAATGTCTGCGACAACGAGCTCCTGCACTGCCAGAACGGAGGGACGTGCCACAACAACGTGCGCTGCCAGTGCCCAGAGGCGTACACGGGCATCCTCTGTGAGAAGCTGCGGTGCCAGGAGGCGGGCAGCTGCGGCGCGGACTCGGGCCAGGCCGCGCTCCGGCCGGCCTCTGCGGAGCCGGGGCTGCTGCTGCTGCCGCTGGCCGCCCTGCTGGGGACAGCCGGGCCCCTGGCCATCTAGGCCCCGCGTGCGGCCAGCGGACGGCCGTGCCGTGGGCACGCCCGCACAGCCCACGCCTTTGCCACTCACGTAGAAAACACTCACGCAGACGCCCCCCTGCCCCCCACTCCAACCCAGTGTACAAAGGACGAAGGCCTGACTGTACTAAGCCATATCTGTCGACCGTGGACCGCACCTCCGGGTCCAGACTGCGGATTTGGGGACTCCAGAGGAGGTGGCCGCTGGGGATGGGATCGCCGCCCCGCCACATCCCATTGCCAGCTGCAGGGCTGAGTGTGGATTGGAAAGGCTGTGACAGCCCCCACCCCAACCAGGAAAGACAGACGACCAAAATCCATCAACCAACGAACCAATGAGAAACAGTTGCTACTCTTTGGTGGCGCGCCCCGCGCGTGTACCACTCTGCCCAGTGTGTGGACCGCGCAAATGGAAGCATTCCTGGCTGCGCGCGCCCTGTGGGGACAAGGGAGTCTGGTACGAGCTGCCACACGGGCCTGCTGCCATCCCCGAATCCCCTCCGACCTGTGCTTTAGTGGACGTTGCTCTGTAACCCTTGTCGGTTCGAAGAGTTCTGTGTCTGATGTGAGTGATGCACCTGTGTACCGGCCCCTCCCCAGAGAGCTCAAGCCAGCCCCCACCCCCCATGTCTCAGCAGCACCACGACGTCCCCCGCCCGCCCTTCCAGAGTGGCTATCGACAAAACGGAAAGAAAACAAACAAACAAACAACAAAGAAAGTGTATCTATCCTTTTGTATTCAAATGAAGTTATTTTTCTTGAAATACTGTAATATGTAGATTTTTTGTATTATTGCCAATTTGTGTTACCAGACAATCTGTTAATGTATCTAATTCCAATCAGCAGAGACTGACATTTTCTTTTGTCCTCCGTTCTGTTTTCGTTTCGTTGTGCAGAGGTTTCTCTGTGCGGGCAACATGCTGGCATCAAAGAATATCAGTTTACATATAGAGCAAGTGTAATAAGATCCCACCAAAGGACAGTCTACATGTTTTCTTGTTGCTTTAACACTGGAAGATTTAAAGAATAAAAATCCCCGCATTAACGATTTCAGGAATTTGTATTGCAATTTCTTAAAGATGAAAGGAGCAGCCGCCAAGCAGTTCCTCATTCACTTTACTAATGTCTGTATGGACTGAGTACATTCAGCTGACGAATTTAGAACCCGGGAAGATGGACTGATATTCACTAGCTTGGACAACTTCTGCAAAATATGTGACTACTTCCACCTGGGAAAAAATTATAACAGCAAAAAAATACAAAAAACTAAGTGATTGCCAAGAGTATGCCAAAGCCTGCTGGTAGAGTACTAAGAGACTTTTATTTTTAATCATGCTATTTTCACAGATTGATGGTGATCATGTGACTCTAGGGATGCTGATCTATGTATCTTTCCAAAGCAGTGTTTACATTGAGTACCATAAGAGGCAACCTGGGGGACCAGGGAAGTAGCAGGGAAATTGAGTGATTAGCAATTTGACTTGGAATATATTCAGACTAAGTATTTAGAGGAAATATCAAAATATCCAGCAGCAAGTAGACATAACCGCTGTTCCTGAGAATAAAGTTCGTTTTAAGTACTGCCCAAGGTGTAATAAATTCTCGTTTCTGCCTTTTATGAGGCCAATTACTGGGTCAGACAGTAGAGGTGTGATGGCCGGGGACGAGCCACTGGAAAGTTTCAGAGGCTACATCAGTGCACATGCTTCTTCCATCCCCAGCACACTGCTGTGCTGCGGGTTACAAATGTGTGAGCAGCAGCATCTCTTGGAATTAACACACACACACACACACCACCACCACCACCACCACTACCCCCCAGCCCCCAGCCCCAACCAGGCGAGTCTGGAGGACAATGAGCTCCTGCATGACTTGGTATGGCAGTGCCCTCCGGTAGTGTGAGGTCAGAAGCTTAGCTCCAGTCTGAATTCTGCACCCGGCTGACACTCCTTTCTGAAATGGCAGGGAAGAAAATAAATAAATATGTCTTCTGATAAATAACCTGTGTAAAAACTAGATGAAGGAACAGCATGTCTTATTGGTTTTGTTCTCAGAAAAGCCAATTCAAAGAAGGCAATAAAAGGTAAACAGGTAATGCCTGTGCTGCCTGCCACCCCACGTCCAAGTCGATTGAATGTTTGTTATTCAAACCAACGTCTCTTCTGATGTAAGAAATCAGAAAAGATGAAGATAAAGTAGAGCTCTGGCCCAGGGCCAGAGTGGCCACCCAGAAATTGGAGATTTACATTAGAAGCATAAACAGCAAATTATATCTCTGGCTCACCAAAGAATACACATGCAAATGTGGATCGCATGCAGAGTTTGAGATTACTTGTAATAAGGTGGATTTCTGATATGAAAATCAGAATTTAAGTTGTCTTAGACTTTATTAGCACAAACCAAAGGCAAACTGTGTTATTTCTGGCAACAATGAGCTTCATCATTATCCGGTGGTGGCTTTTGTCACAATGCTCAGGTATCAGACGTGCATATCAATACATGGAGATTCCACAAGCTTATTCTAAAACTTAATGAAGGTCTGATCTAAGTCAATGTGTCTGCATTTTATTGTGATGAGGCTATAAGAATCTAAGCTGATGAGGACTATCTTTCACTCAGCATATTTAGAGATCATTTTCTGGATTTCCTGAATTTCTGCTTTTAATAAAAACTCACATTTCAGTGTGTAGTCAGCCCCTGGATTATGAACGTCTGACTTAAGCACAACCTATAGTATTAACCAACCTGGGAAGCCTATTCTATTAAAAACCTGGAATCCATATAATGGTTCATAATAATAAATAGGCACTACCGGATAATGCATCAAAACATTATTATTATGACTGTATTACTATGTTTAAGAAGCTTTAGTGTATTTGGAAGTATTTCTTTCATTTTTTATGCAAAACAGTACCCTCTATGGTATATACTAAGACAGACAGACATTAGATACAAACCATTCCTAACTGTTTCAACTTATGCACAAAATGTGATTTAGAGACAGATTGGAGGATGAAATTCCTTCATAATCTAGGGACTGCCTGTATTAACAAATGGCAATTAAATGTTCTCTTCAATCTGGATCCTCATGTTCTAAGAGTCAATTTCTTCGAAGAAAACCCAAGTTGGTGGATTTTGTTCATCTACTGATTCCAGCATTCCTGAAAAGCTGCTTCCATCAACAATATTGTGTCTTAAGAACAGGATTGGGGTGGAATGTGGATGCTAAATTGTGCTCTGATTTTACTTGAATAGGTACTGTAAGACAGACTGTCTTGCAAATGAGTAATCTGTCAACTCTCTCATAGAGTGAAAATACGGTCCCTTCCTCCTGTACCATTGATGAGCCAAAAAAGAAAGAATACTGAAAATAAAAGGGGGAAGCCAAGGTTCAGCGACACAGAAGGTATTGCTTTTCATTGGGAAGCAGTCAGACGCCCCTGCCATAACATGAAGTCATTCATTGATGACTTTTTATAGCCTAGAAGGAGCCCTGGTGGCACAATGAAGCTCCCAAACACTCACCGTGAGGTCCGTGGTTTGAACTCACCATCTACTCCTCAGATGGAAGATGGGGTGATCTTCTGCCTCAAAGATTATGGTCTTGGAAACTTTATGGGACAGTTATGTTCAGTCATACAGAATCACTGTGAGTCAAAATCTACTGGACACGACGGAATTGGAGTTGGACATAAGCTACAGGGAGAACTTTAGTTCCAGCAAAGAGGAGTCATTTGCCTAGAGAAGCCCATTCTGATCTCCCTCCAGGGCTTTGTCTCAGGAACAAAGAACCTAGAATTCCCTATAGGATATCATTTGCCCACTTGAAGGGCATGCGTGGACCTCTTCTGTGGGACCAGACTCCTGAGGCGAGCAGCATTCGAAAGTACATCTCGCAGCAAAAGGGGTGACAATGGGTGAGTGTGGGGGTGGATTCGTGGCCAGGCCTAGAAGTGTACACTGGATAGTTTAATGCACTTGGCCGACTTGGGGGCGAGGTAGGCAGTGCAAGCTGCAACCAGGACCAATTGAGAGCCAAGCTTCAGTGCAAACTCTTAACAGTCTAAGAATTCTAAACACACATCTGGCCTTCCCGTTGTGACAGCATGTGTCCGAGTAGCAGGATGGGACATAGTTTTTAACAATTTGTTAACTTATTGCCTCATTTTTAAATACTAGACCCGTGGCATATGGGCTTCTAATTGGCACATGGCCTGGTCTCAGCCAATATTTGAGATGGGTCTGCCTGGAAGTGCACGCTGCCTGGTGGTGTTCTTGAGTAAACTCCCCGAATGGGCACAAATCACTTGACCGGGCTGGAAGAAGGCAGGTGATCCACAGCCAGCCCCTTCCTATAGTGCAGTGCTTCCCTCACCCTTTGCTGGATCTGGGGCCTCACTGGAGCTTGGGAAGTATCGGGAAGGTTAAGGCAGCTGTGAGAAAACCCTAACATTGGGTTTTTAGTCCTATATCCTTCACCCTCCACCATCAGTAGTCCAATACTACCAGGATGAAAGGGCCCAATGCTGTAAGATGGTGTGCTCTGTGCTATTTGGGAAATGGGTTGCTGTACTTCACCTGTTTTTATTTACAAAATAAAATATTTGCTTAATTTCTCTGCTCACAACAATTGAACGAGGTGTTTGGAGACTTTGAACTACATGGTCTACTTGTATGTTTGCCAGGAGCTCTGTCTTTATGCATTTATGATCTGGTACAATTCAAAGCTGCAGCTTCAGGAACCTGAAGATTATTTTTACCTACCATTTTAGCCCAGAGCTCTGATGGCAGAGTGGTTATGCATTGGGCTGTGCACCGCAAGGTCTGAAGTTCAAAACCACCAGCACTTAGTGGGAGAAAGACCAGACTTCCTACAATCACAGTCTCAGAAATCCACAGGGCAGTTCTACCCTGTCACATAGGGTTGCTATGAGTCAGCATTAACTTGGTGGCAGTGAGTTTATGTCACTCCTAGTCTTTGTC